GTGTAAGAAGGTTCTTAAAGAGACAGAGGCCAATTTCAAGGTGTTTAAAACAGAAATGAGAAGAAGAAGAGTTTATTTTCTATTTAAACATAAAAAACAGCATTTTAATAACATAACGACTAAAGGTGTAATAGATACTTGATTATGGTATAGAACTTAAATATATGCCTGGGAAACACATAATATTGCCCCTTTAATATCAGTTCAATAACAGCGATTACATCAGATTTATAAACTTATTTTAATTTTAAACGATTACATTAAAGCTTCAGTTTTGCTCAGATCATATCCACATTGAAGTAAATAAAATAAAATTTGTTTACTTGTGAAATGAGATGTTTTCCTGCTTCTCTTTTCTTGGTAAATCCATAAGACAGAGAGCATTCTAGCTTATATACACTAATTAATTAATGATAATTTGTTAACATAATATTTTTTGTGATTTCTACATCATCAGTATTTTGTCATTATACTGCCAACATGTTCAGTAACGGTAAATCTAGACTTTTGCCCATTCTGCTTAGCTTCTACAGTAAATCACACGATAACATGGTTTGGACTAAACTTGTCACTAATATGTCCTCGATGTGATGTTAGGCTTTGATCATGCACATTAGTAATCAAAATAATGTCAATGTTCATCAGTCTCAGTCTCTCACTCCTGAGTCCAGACATGTGGAGAACAGAGGAGATGCTTGTCAGATCTGGAACACAATCAGAATTTATATTTGTTAGTAAACAGTGTTTTAGTTGTTTAGCAAGTATATTTAGTTTTTGGTTCCTCAGTTCCACTTGCTGTGATTGACAACAACTCCAGAATCTTTGGACTGAAACAGGTACAGAGAGCTAAACTAAACCTCGACTTACAAAWATAGAGTTTAGAATAAACTTCCAGCAGTGTGAGCTCACTGCATCCTAAAACCTCTAAACTGAGGCCAAATGATGGTTCTGTAAAATGTTGTCTTTGGCACAATAATTAAACTGAATTTATTGAACAAGATCATTTATGAATTTAATTAAAAAAACATGTATTTTGTCCACAATATGCTTTTTCATCMATCCATCTTCTTTACACACAGTTTTCCTTCCCGATCATGTTGAAGATAAAAGTAGAATAACTTTAATGTGTACAGGAGGCTGTGTGAAACATGGTCGTTATCATAGTCATTATCTAAATATAAATGAGACCTAAGAGATGGTTGTGAACTTTAGGATGAACACAGACTGCTATTTAATTCTAGTTTATTTACTGACTCAAAGAAAATGAGCAAACTGGTAAAAACAGCTGCCTTTGTGCTGAAAGCAGCTTCAGATGTGAACAAGCTGCTAAAAATAGACAAAAACAGACAAATTAACATCTCTTTGTTCTTTTTGTCTTGTTGGTAGTGTGGAAAYATTTATTAAAAAGACAGAAACACTTGAATAAAAGAAGATGCACT